ACGTGAGATAACTTAACTCACATGTTGCACTGAGGAAACAGAAAACTCTCCTTCTCTGCTGGTACTAAATGAAACACAGGCCTTGACACAAGATTCCAATGAATTATGTTTATTTTCAGTGTGAATACATGAAAAAATATGCTCTAAAAACAAAATTTGAGGTCAGGCCTTTTGCAGCCTTTTGGGAAAATATGATGGGTACCTGTTTTTGGATGTCTCACAGTTCATTAGCTTTTTTTTCAACAGATAGGATTGAATTTACTAGATATTATTATGTAGAACATAAAAGAAAATGTATTTTAAATTTGACTTCTGGTGTATTTCCTGTAAATTTAAGAGTTTCCAGAGGTTTATGAGATAGCAACATTGTTATTTTCATATTTTCTTGTGTGGAAATGTAGTAAGCAATGTAGTCTGTAAATCATACTTGCAAAAATCGAAGCTAAGGCAGCTTGCATTCGTCAGCTAAGGTCTAAAAGCAATTGCATTAAAGAAAAGTAAACATGTTTTGAATGTTGAAGAGAAAGTACAGCTTTGAAAAAAAGGAATCAGAGATCTTTTTACAGGGCCATGGTTAAGGATGCTAAAAGAATGGTGCTGCAAAATATTAAGCTGTCACTTTGCTGGAGAGCTCTACTTGTAGTGTGATTGGGTTCTATATAATAGACCTTTCAATTTGTATAGCCAGCAATGCCTGCTTGCGTACCTGAGAGCACCAGAAAAACTAACTTATGATTGATTCTGATGTGTGTAAACTTTCCCTATATCTAAGCTGCATAGAAACACATGAAGATTTTGTAGTTATGGCGTCAGTAAAATAATGCTGATAATGGTTAAATTTTGGAACAGAGTAAATCCTTTATTACAACCAGCTTGAAAAAATCAAATTTTCTACAAACCAACAATAGCACATTCCATAACACATTCCAGTCTAGCAAGTAGACATAAACCCAGGGAGGGAAGTATTTCAGCATAAGCAGTGCTAATGCATAAAAACAAGAGCAAGGATCTGAGGAATCTCTCTTCTGTTTCCATACAGCCTTCCCAAACATAAATAGTTCTGTGATATATTGCTACATAATAGATCTGACTGAGAGCTCCAACTCTGTTTCTTGCCAAAATTCTAAATGAAGTTAAATAAATGTGCAATGTCAAAATGGCATTTTTGGCTGAAATACTTCTATTGGCTCTATTAATAGACCTAACTGCTTTCAGAGTGGAGGAATAGTCAAGTTTATCTCTAGCTAAGGTTTGAAAGATTTGTTTCTTTTTGGGATGGAAGATGGAAGTAAAATGATGTATTTTACTATGGGGTTGTTAATTTACTTTTGATTCTAACCAGGTAGTCTTTACTTATTTTATAGAAGAAAGTGCTACAAAGAAAGAGAAGGCACGTGCAAATTTAGCTTTTAAAAAAGATAGTTGATAAATATTTAAGAACATCTACTAGATTAATCTTCAGTACCTTAGTAGGTGGTAAATAGGCTAGCTGAGTCTCTTTAAGTTATAATTCCTAAAGTGAATTTTACTTCAGATGATGTCCGGAGTTCTATCACTGGCATAATGAAATTCTGAAGATAAGCTATGTATAATTTGAATTGCACTAGTAAAGATAGAGCTGCAGTAGCATAGGAATAGTATTAAAACAGTAAAACTATCAGAAGCTTAGAAGACATTAGCTTGGTTTTTTTCCTTAAAACATATGGATGATAACATGAAAAAAAAAAAAAAAAAAAAAAAAAAAAAAAAAAATTGAGAATGCACAAATATCCTTTGCAGAACCACAGTGTGAGTAGAAAGTGTTTATTAAGAGGGAAGGAAAAAGCAATGAACAGGTACTTAGTTAATGGCGTGATTATTTTGGTAATTATTAAGGTGTTCCAAATACAGAACACTGCAGATTTTTTTGGAAATCGGTATTAAATTCAGCTTTTGAGATTTACTGGGGAGCTAGTTCAGAAAAACAGCTGGCCATGAAGAGCTCACAGTGCCATTCAACTCCTGTGGGTATTAATCTGAACTGATCCAGGTCTGCTTACAGGCATTTCTGACAGCTACATCTATTCTTAAAGGGAATTGTGTCTTTACTATGGAGCTAAGGCATGGCAAGGAAATCATATACATAAACTGCGACAGAATAATTTCATATGGTACATTATACCAGTCAGAGCATTAATTATTACATGAACATGCAGAAACATCAGATTATGTCTGTAGAAAGGAGCAAATATACTTAGAAAAATTCTGGATGATAATAAAATTGGTTTAACTGTTACAAAATTGAAAAGCAAAGAAACCTATTTCACACCATACTCACTCATGCATTGTATTCTCCCCTCAGTGTAGATGTTGCAGAAGTCAACTGTCACTATTAGTTACAGATAGATACAGATTTCCTACTCCTGTAACTGTCTGTGGGCAGGTGCAGTGGAGAATTAAGCTAGTCTCTGTTGTGGTTACTGACTTTTTAGAGACATTTCCTGAAGGAAATCTTAATTGTCATCATGTTACAACTTGGATCTGCATAAGCATCAACACTGTCTTTCTGGGTAGTATGTTTGGCCACAGAGAGTTATTGCTATTACTGTTGAACAAATGAGTGTCTTATGAATTACCTCATTATCTGCTCAACAGGGCATAGGAAGGAAATTTCCTGAAAAAGCAAACTGTCAAAACACTGAATAATGTTTTTTGGGGTTTGGATTGGGTTAGAGGGTGAAGTGAATATTGCTGGAGGGTTTTGGTTTGATTCCTGTTTGAATTAAAACAGACTTTAGAAATCTTTTAAAAATTAATTACCTCTCTTTAGATTTTGAGAATCTCTAGTGTTTGTCTTCTGTTACAGGAGCGGAGTAGCTGTAGATGTGAAATCATGCTATTTTGACGCTGGCCAATTTTTTATTTTCCACATAAACTTTTTCAGATTAGCTAGTTTAATATCTAATATTAGCATTTTGTATGTAATACTTGAAACAACAGAGGTGTGATGTGATATCTTGATTTAATAGCAATAATAACCAAATAGATGCAAAATGAAATATCAAAGTATTTGCTCTGTAAAGCTTTACTCCTGTGTTTTTCTGAAGTTACAGGCATTTATAATCAAGTTTATCTAGTGCCTTTCAATTTTAGCACAGTCTGTGTTTTTCTGTAATTAAGGAGTAATTGTACAGATTCGGTTTGTTTTCTGTGTTTCACTCCTTTTTATGTTCCTGAGGAACTTTACCACTGGATGTACATGGAAACTAACTATTGAGGAAACCTCTTTCACAAATCTTAGATAGATATAAGTAAGAGTGAGGTTTTCATTTGGCATTTCTCCAATTTAAATATGTATGTGTCTATATATATGTGGTTATTCTTCTTATCTAGTAGCAGGATGGCAGTTCTTCAGGAAAGGATCTGAGGATTATATGGATGAACCAATATACAATTGCAAAAATCCTCAGTCATCACTGCCCTGTTCAGAATTCTGCGTTTCAGGAGGAATGTGGGGCAGCTTGAAGGTGAACCAAATGAAAGTAGTCAGGGCCCAGAAAATCTCTGTGTAGGATTTCAAGGAAGGGATAATGTCAGAAAATAAAGGAATTAAAACACTAAGCGAGATGATGGAGCTTAACCATGTAATAGTCTGTTCTTAATAGCTGTGGAGGAAGAGAAATGATTGTAAACAATTGGATGGAAATATTCTGATGGGAAAGATGGTTAAACGTTGGAATAGTAGGATGAAGCTCTATGACCTTTAGGAACTGGTGACTGTCCTGAGGCACAGGAGTATGGTGAGGGTCTTAAGGATGCTTTGGATCCTAACTTACAACTTTGATGCAGAATGTATTACGTAGCATAAATGGTATTGTGTTACGCATTTGGGTTAGCTAAATCTGTTGGCTCTAAGTGACAGTATTTTACAAGTTAGATTCTGCAGTATGCATTTATGCAGAGTGTTTTTGCTCATATGTTACAATTTGATTGTTTTTCTCCTGAAATGGCTGTACTTTTACTGGCTATTCTGAATACTGACTGAGCTTGTAATTGTCACAGGTACAGCAGGTAGGCAGTTGCCGGAGAAGGATTTTAGTGGTTTTTGTAATGTTATCAGCATGATGAATCAGAGTTCCTTTTCTTTACCTGCAAGGAAAATAAACAAAAATACAGTAATTGAAAGAAATGGATGCTTATGTTTTTGTTTTAGCTTGTTTTTTATTTGTGTTGTTTTTATTTTGTTTTTAATTATACCTTCACCCTAAACGTATTTCAATTTTAATTAAAATATTCTTTTTATTCTACTTAGTAAATAGAAGTATTTGTTGTAGTTGAAAAGAGAGTTTTTAAAGAAACAGTGCACTTTTACAGTCAGTGCTTTTCTTCCATACTTTAAAATATACTTGTTTCTTTCTGATCTGTTTCAGATGCACAATATATCTAATACAGAATGAAATTCTCTGTTTCATGCTAATTTTCCCATTTAGTATTTTTACCAAATAACACTGATTGGTTGATTTCAAACACTGAAAGCAATGGCATTTCTTCATGTGTGGTTTTGTTTTTAACCAGAAAAGTGTTTGTTAGTATTTTACTAGTGATATCTGCAACTTGAAGTCTATGTGAAAGCGATAATTTATCCTTTGCTAGGAAACTGGAAAACTTCAAGTATTTCTGAGGAAATTTCTAATACTGAATGTATTTTGTTAAGTGGGGAAGAGAAGACTGTACAACCGTTTGTGTTGTAAAGGACCCACAACATCACTGGGTGCGACCATCACATAATGCTAGCAAGTCCTCCATTAAACTATGCCCCTAAAGGCGTTTGTTTCTGTGAGGGTTTCCTTTGCTGACTGATTTAAAGCAAGTATTACACGTTGAATGAAATCTACACAGCTAATTGAGACCATGTAAATTTGCTAACAAGTGACAGTGTTCATTATCAAATTACTAAAAATATTTCCTGTCTTTGTGTCCCTGAGATAAGAGATGATATTCTGATGCATGTCTTTTCACAGGACCTGTTGTTCAGTGTGTGCGCTCTCAATATCATCTCCACCATTGTCTGTGCTTTGGCAACAGCAATGTGTTGCATGCAGATGGTTTCTTCTGATCTTCTGCAAATGGTGAGTACGTTTCAGTGACAACACAATGTTGTCCAACATAATGTGTTTTCCTATTCTTTATATACTATTCCTTGCTTAGAACTTAGGCCTATTTGTGTCTTTGCATAGTGTTAGAATGTGTATACCTAGGTGTGTATTTTAACTGTGTATATCTATAAATACAGTGTATAGATGTATGCAATATGAATACCTGCTGCATTAGATGTGTATTATCTTATATATTACTGTATTATATATTATTATATATTCTATATTATCTTAGAGAGCTAAATTCAGGATTTTGCCATTGGGAGTAAATAATTTTGGTTACTGGGGTTAGTAACAACGTTTGGCTTATATATGCACATTACATTTTTGGTTGTTGTATGTTCATTGTATTCAGTTTTCACACTACCCAGAGCAATTACTTAGCTTTGAGATACTGTTTTTCAAGTATGGGAGCTATGTTGTGTGAGAACTATATATTCAAAAGTGGAACTTTTCTTGGCACTGTGCCAGTAAGTGTTTTCAGAAGGAAAACATGCTCAGCTCTGGAGTAGTGCTTGTGTTTAAAACAAAAGGGAAAATGATCATTAGTCTTCTGCACAGTCAGCTGCGTTGCAGGATGATGTCTTGTTTTGCTTGGAAAAAGAAGAACCCTCCTGTCCCATGTAAGTGCTCTTCTTCTCAAGGTTTCAATTTAATGTTGAAACGTAAACAGTACTAACTTTAAATTAGTGTTTGGCAGGCCACATAAACTATTTAACCCACCTCTACAACAACTAATCTATGAAATAATGCTGTGTTTAGTATGAGACAGCAGACATGCAAACTAATGCTAGTCATTTGTAAATCTTGTATTTTAGAAGTCTGTGTGGCAAAAATACTGTCCCAACAAGATACTTGTGAACAGTTTGTGAAGTAGTGAGAAGTTGTATAACCTGCCCCAACTGGTTAAATGCATAAATATATACAAATACATTCACTGCCTGGATTTCACTTGAGTTCTAAGTATGTGACTTAGAGATAAGGATGTCCTTTCTAGAGAAGTGTTCCAGTCACCAGATTACAGTGCATCCTCAGTCTGTGAGCTGTGGATTACTTCATGTGTTAGTGGGCATAAAAAAGGGCAGGCAAAATCTGATGTGACATGGAAGCATATTTTCATTTAGCACTCTGTATTCACAGTGTGTGTGCTTGCAGCGGCTTATAAATAGTGCTTATTTAATAGCTGTCTTCTGGATGTCAAACAGCATTGACAAAATTCATCATTTCAATTGATGACATACTGTATTTTAAGTCTGAAAGAACTTTCACCATTTGTAGGTATTCTTTCTTTTTGTGCACTCCCCACCCCGTCAGTGTGTTCGCTGCAGGCTGCCCTTGACTGAAGATCCTGATTGTAAAGTAACCTTTTTCACGTTGCACTGATCACAGGGAGACAACTGATCACCACAGCTGGGAAGTTCTATCTTTCTAGGGTGACAAGGTTAGCAGTGATCCAGAAGTGAAATCATTTGTATTGAGGAAACCTTAACCTGGACTTAATTGTGTGTTTTTTCATGGTATAAGAAGAAGGAAATTGTTGATGACAATGAATCAAGAACAATATTTAAAGTACATTTGACTTGCGTGCACAAAATGGAATAACCTTGATAAGAATATATTTGAAAACCTTAAAAGGACATTATTTTTCTCCACCACTTCTTTCTTCATTTCTGGCATAAAGGTTTCTCTTTACCACTAGGAAATGCTTCTGTTGTGTCACTTTCTTTTTACTTCTCATGTTTTGTGCCTCCAGCTTTCTTTCTACTTGTTCAGTTCTCTGTTCTGCCTCCCCTCGTCTACAGCTCTGTTGATGAGAATTGAATTTTCTTCCCTCTCTGCAGAAGAAGAAAGATACATATTTCTTTCAGCTGAACCCCAGTCTTTTGTTTATCCTTAAGATTTTCCCTTTCTTTTTTCAGGTTGCTGTGCCAGATTCCTACCAGGCCTAAGTGAGCATAACTTCCCTGCGGCTATGCTGACTTAGACCAGCTGAACCTGAAGAATATTCTTTCTTTCACTATTTTCAATCTGTTGTCCTTTTGATTCCCTTTTTCTACACTGCCCCAAACATCTGATTTACTACTTTTTCTTTCTTGTAAATCCTTTTATCAGCAGGGTTTTATCATGCTGAAAAGTTTAAGATCTCAGCACAAGGAGATAATATCCCATTTGGAATATGTTTCTGTTCTTTTACTCTATTCTTCCTGTATTCAAGAGCTACATAGGCTCTGCTGTAGGAAGAGAAGCAATAAAAGTGAAATTCTTGGTCAATAACACTTACATAGCCTGAAAAATCCTCAGACATCATTAGATTGTACAACCTTTAAACTTGCTGTCATCAGTTTTGTGGCTTGTGTACTGTTAGTATCCATCTCAGAAATTAACCAGTCAGAATGATGCATTTTTGCTGCTTACTCAGTCTTGAAATAATTTCTAGTTTTTCTCTGCTATCAAGCTATTCTGTGTGCATTGTGTATTTTATTGCCTAGCAACATTGGTCTTGTACATAATATACGTAGTTTCATGAATATCTGTGGTAAGGTTTCATGAGTATTTGCTTCCTTGTATAAACCTTGCACACAATGAGTGTTTGATTCACGCAAGCAAACTGACAGTATTTTATTGGGAATTGGTACCTCTGGATGTAGTGATCTTTTAGTAAAAAATGCTCCAAAAACTATAACACAAACTGTCCACTAATGCACACAGATGAAATCTTTCATTACATTTGAAGCTTTCTGTTTAAAAATAATGTCACTGAACAAATATTGGCTTTCAAGTATTAAGGAAAAAAATACAAGTTCTTGTGGTATCTAGGGAGATCCCTTCTTGGGCTGGGGTTTGAGATACACCAGTTTCTTTATCTTCACCCCTAGAGGCTGAACCCAGAGGTGTTAGGTAACATAGGGTTTAAGAAATGTGAGCAGAAATAATTGTTTCCAATTCCAGTCTTTAAAGAAACAACTTCATTTCTATTTTATTCCTGCACTTTTTAAACTAAATGATCTATCACACACATCCTTACTCTCTAACTACTTCGAAGATCAAGTTCAAGATGCAAGTGAAGTAACAAAAAAATAGAGAGAATAAATATAGGAAGTCAGGTGCCTTCGAAAAATGTTTAATTATTATATCCTGTGATACATTATATTCTGTAATAATGTTACTGATTTTGTGTAAGCTGTCAGTAGCACTCATCTTTTTCTTTGTATTTATTTCAGTAGGGACATAAAAGATACCTGGCATTTTTAGTCAATGCTCATCTAAATGTTATTAAACTCACTTTTTGTACTGATTTAATATATACAATAATCCATTAATTTGTGCCAGTCTTACTCTTCTGTTAGTGATAGCTTCCTGTACGGTAAGAAATGTGCTTCAGCATGCGGTTTTTCTCTAAAAGCTATCCTGAGGACCTAGTCCAAGAAGCAGATAAGAACAGGATTTGCAGTCATGTATGTGATTAGATGGCCTAAATAGCAGCTGAATCTTTGATGCAGTTATCTGGAGTCAGACAGCTAAATATATGCTTTTCTGCTTTTCTTTGTTTGCTTGTGAGTTTCTCCTCTATTCGTATTATATGTAAGTTTTGTAGCTGTGTCAGGATTTAAAAAAATTCTCTTTACTCTTGATTGGCGTGTGCTATTAATTGTCACCACAGTAAATGATGAAGCATTCTATCTGACAGTCCTGAAATCTGAACTATGGTGTTCCAACAGCTAGCATCCATTACACTGCTCAAATCACATCCTAGACGAGGCAAAGTGCTGTTAAAATGTGTGAGCTCATTTGGGGCATGGCATGTAGGAGTCCTGGCCAACGGAATGCCAGTGGACGAGTACCCGAAGTCCTGACATTGTTTGACTGTCAGAATTTCACCTGCTATGTGGAGACCTCAAGCGTGTCCCCACTACTTCCATTACTAACTATTACTAACTATTCTCTGAGAGAAACTGAGCAGACTAGGGAGCTTTCAGTGTAATTAAAAGACTTGAGAAGACATAATAGTTTTGTATATCAGAGATGTGATACCAGTATATTCATGACTCTTATTCAGGGATTGAATTTCTTCATTATCTTCTGATTCTGTTATTGTGTCTATCCATGTTAGTATGCTGTTGTGTACTAACAGGTGGTGTTGGAAGCTTGTCTACAGGCCTTTCATGTCATTATATCTTGGCAGGTGTTCTGTGCTCAGAACTGCCTGTCTCTTATCAGTTTATAATATATCAATTACAATCTTTTAAAAATAATTGAAATTGCATTACTAATACAGGAATGATAATACCAGTAAGAGGACATACAGTGCAGGCAGCTTTGGTGGGAGTCCTGTTTTTCAGGTCTGGTAATATGCTTTTTTCAATCACATCTCTCTTGGGAATATTGCAAACTATTTTTCTTGCATTAGATTTTAGTTTCCTCTAGCTCTTACTTTTGTATTCACAAAAGTAGAAATCTTGAGATTGTTGTCAGAAACCATGCTGAAATTTGCTATATGCCAGAAACCGAAATAAATCCTTACTACTCACCAATTGCCGATAACAAAAGGAAAAATAACTCTTTCTTTGAGCACCTGCTCCTGTTTGTTAATGTATTTCATAGCATTTGTTGGCAACAGTGCAATCTAACTCAATTTTCACAAGTATATGCAAGCTTCAAAAAGGGAGTGATGTAGGGTACAGCCATTGATTTGAACTGCTGAAATCTGAATTTTACCAGCAAGATCTTATCCTGAAGGAAAAAAAAAGAAAAAACTGAAAACAGGAAAGGTTAAAAAAACAAAATGTGTATTTTTTTTTCTTGTTGTTGTTATTTTGGTGTGGTGGTTTTTTGTTTTTGTTTTTTTTTGTTTGTTTGTTTGTTTTGTTTTAATACACGCTATTCGGTTTCTGCAATTTTTCAGGTGAATTATTTGGCACAAGACCAGGTGAACTGTTGTGGGGCTTGAGCTTCTGTTACGGGACATACAAAAA